AAGGGGTGGCCTGAGGGAGAAGGAGGGGCTGTGAGGGGCTGAGGAGGGCTGAGGGAAATGGGGCTATGAGGGGCTGATGGAAAAGGGGGGGCTGAGGGAGTAGGGGCTGAGTGAAAAGGGGGAGGCCGGAGATGGGGGGTAAACAGGACAGAGCTGGGGGAACTGGGTGAGGAGAGACTGGAGGAACTGCGCACCCTGGGGTGGGGGATGTGGGGAAACTGGAGGATTATGAGTGGGAAACTGGAGGTAGGACCAGAGCAGGACTGGGAAGATTGGTGGGGTAGGGCCAGGGGTACGTGGGGGGCCTTGACTGTGGAGTCAGGGCTGGAGTTACTGGGATACAAGCCTGGAGAGGGACTGGAACAATGAGGAGGGACTGGGGGAACTGGGTGACCTGGGGGTACTGGAGATTCCAGGCTGGGAAACTGGGGGTAGGATGAGGGCAGGACTGGGAGTACCGGGAGGTTGGTGAGGGGAGCAGGAAGGGCAGAACTGGGAGTACCTGGGGGGTTCTGACTGCAGAATCAGGACTGGAGTTACTGGGGGACAAGGYTGGAGAGGGACTGGRACAACTGGGTGACGAGGGRYTGGGCGATYTTGAGTGATGGAGCTGGGRGAACTGGAGGATCACGAGTGRGAAACTGGGGGTAGGACTAGCTCAGGACTGAGAGCACTGGGAGGATCAGGGGTACCCACTGGGCCTCAACTGGAGAATCAGGACTGGAATAACTGGGGGATGTGGCTGGAGGGGACTGGGGGAGACACTGGGAGAATTGGGTSCTCTGTGGGGGAGGACTGGGGGGTTCCTCAAGGGTCTTTCCGGTGTTGGGGCTCTGTGTGGAGAGGTGTTGGGTGGCTCTGACCTTGCTGAGGGTGGGGGGGACTCCAGAACATGGCCTGGGGCTGGGGGACACTGCTCAGAACCCCTGCCATTGCTGGGGGGCGTGGGGTGCTCTGACCCTCCCAGAGGGTTGGGGCTGGCAGGGGGTGCCCCTGGGGTTTTGGGGACGTTGGGCGGTGGGGGAGCATCAGGCCTGGGTGGTGAGAGGTGGTGGTGCCTCAGGTGAGGGGGGGAGGCTCCTTTTGGGGGTCTGGGGGAGCCTCTGGTGGAGCTGCTGCAGCCCAGCTGGGCTTGGGAATGGCTGAGG